AAGTCAGATATAATCATATTATCAGATTAAACATAAACTCACAGACAGACAGTCAATGAAATTCTAACAAGTCTTAAGATCTGCTATATTTCTACACAGAAAAGTGAAGTCATTATAAATAACTGATGAAAAGATAAATCTCACAGATCTGAAGTAATATTCATTTCTATAAATATAAAATGAGTTTTTCAAATGAATCTTACATAACTTTGAGAAAGTAAATATATAAGATAAGTATTACAAATACTTCACTGAGTATAGATAAGTGAGCAATCTTACATTGTACTTCACACACTTTAGTTTACACTATCTTGCATTAAATGAAGAGCTTTCAACATCTTTCTATTTACAGATCTTCATTCATGATCTTACATCTGAGTTGAGAGCAGAATGAAAATGCTTAATCTCACAGTCAGACACAGTGAAGAAAGCATATAATATTCTTATTATACAGAAATAAACAAGTAAATTGTGACAGAAAATACTGCAATCAAGTATGTCTCAGCAGAGAACAGATAATCAGACTTCTATAACACAAGTTATACATCTGAATGCAATGAATCTAGATCTGAATATCATCACTAAAGCACTGAATCCTCTGAAAAAGAAATCCTCTGAGTGAAAATCTTGATATTATGAGCATCAAGCTTGTTTCAACTGCAGACACTAAAATCATGATACAAAAGATTGCACTCAGTATACACAGTTAAAAAACTAGCAGAATCAGTGAGCTCAGAGACACTCACTGATATTCTATAAAAAGTCTTCAAAGTGAAAGAGATGTCTGTATTAGATGATTCTCTGAATCCTGTGAATGTAAAGAAGAAGCAGACTCTCAAATAAGATGCAGATGAGAATGATGAAGTGAATACTTATCTCAATACCTTGAGGCCTGAAATGTTAATGTATAGAGAATACTTAAGTAAGAATCAAGAGATGACTGTAAAAGTGTTAGCAGACACAGAAGCTTCTACACAATATATTGATGATTATATGATTCAAAGATTGAAAGAGATTCACTGAGTGAAGAATCTCTGATACATAAGATTATCTGATAACTAATATTTGATATTATCTGTAAAAGTAAGAGTTTCCTTGCACTTCAGAGAATGATCTTGCTATATTTAAGCATGAGAGCTGCAGAACATGAAATACAACCTTATTCTCAGACTTGATTGATTTCAAAGATTCAATTCACAGATTCAATGACATACATGTTATATACAGTTGATCAATAGAAAGAAAATGGTTCATATGATTCTATCAACTGATATGAGAAGAACATTTCACATCTCTGATATAGAAGGATTAAATCTGCTTACACATCAACAAGCAAAGAGAATAATTTACAAGACCTCATTCAAAAGCATTCTGTATGTCATACAGAACCTGAAAGTGAAGAAAACCAAGATAAAGAATATACAGAAGAATAAGCATATGAAGAAGCTTCTGAAGAAGCATAAAAAGGTCTTCTGAACAGATCTTTCATCAGAATTGCTGCTGAAACAAGGATTTGTACATGAGATTGACATGAGGAATGTAAAACCAGTTAATCAGAATGCATACTCTCTGTCACAAACACATCTCAAAGAACAGAAGTATCAGATTACAGATCTTCTAGAATATAGTCTTATACAACTCTTATCAAGCATGTGAGGCTTTTCAGTTCTATTTGTGAAAAAGGTGAGTGAAGAGTGACAGATGTATATCAATTATCAAGCACTTAATAAGCTTACAATCAAGAATGAATATTCACTGCTACAGATTCAACAACAGTTGAATACAGTTGAAAATACCTGATATCTATCAAAGATCAATCTTCTCTCAAAATACTGGCAGATCTGTATAGATGAACTGTCAGTCTCATGAACTGCATTTAATACACAATGAGAGAAGTTCAAATTCCTAGCAATGTCATTCAGTCTGACAAATGTGCTCATCATCTTTCAAATGATGATGAATATGATTCTTCATAAACAGAATGAAACCTCATGTCTTATATATCTCAATAACATTCTAGTCTTTTCAAACTTATATAATGAATATCTGAAGTATCTTAATGAAGTGCTTACAACTCTGACACAGTATAAGCTCTATATCAAATCAATCAAGTGTGTGTTTGAAACAGAAGAGTTGAAGTTTATGAGACATATAGTGAGTGATAACTGTATACACCTCATTCTGGAGAAATTGAATGTCATAGTGAATTGACCATGGCTGAGAAATGTACATCATGTACAACAGTTTCTTGAATTGATCTTATACTATTACAGGTTTATCAAGGATTTCATATAAATATCTGCATCACTCTCAGATCTCTTAAGAGAAATAGATGCAAATCTGTGAAAGAAGAAGTTTCATTCAATCATCTGAAATACTGCATGTGAAGAGGCTTTTCTCACACTGAGAAAACATGTAACAACATTCTCAGTGCTTATTCAACTCAATTGTAATAAACCTTTTTACATTGAGATAGACATATCTAAATGAGCTATCAGAGACACTCTTCTACAGATGAGTAAGAATGACAAGCTGCACTCAGTGACATACAATGATAGGAAACTATCAGATGCTGAGCTCAATTACTCAGTGTATGAAAAGAAATTACTAGCAATCAAGCACACACTGATGTTGTGAGATAGATATATCAATAACAGGTATATAACAACAGTGATCACAGATCATGAAAGTCTCATCTATCTACAATTGATAATAAAATCTTTCAAACACTTAGCATATTGAATCTCAGAGTTTCAAGCATACAATCTTCATATCAAATACTGAAAGAGATCAGACACAGTGATACCTGATACAATCAGTCACAGATCTGATTTCATGAGTGAGAGTTCTGTGAATCAGGCATAAGAAATATTCACATTAAATGCACTGAGAAGATGCAAGGAATCAGAATGAATGAACATCATGATCTCTCACTTGAAGAATGACAAGATATCAGATAATAAGCATCTTATGAAAGTAGTAGAAGAGATGCTTTCAAACTTCAAGCTGAAAAAATTGAAAAACAATGTTGTGCTTTATCACAATCTAGAATACATAGAAGCTCTCTATCTAGAATCTTTATTTCAATGTGACTTGATGACTCACATGCACAAAGAATTCAGTCACTTAGAAAGCTCTGAACTCATAAGCATACTTGAATCAAGAGCATACTGGTCAAGCATGGCTGAGGACATTCAGACATACACTCACAAGTGCCTGAATTACCAGGTTGTGAAAGAATCTAAGAAAGAGTTAGAATATGAGAAAGCAAAATATCAGATGAAGTGTATGATACAATCATTTGAATAATGAGAAGTGAATCTCATAGACATATTGCTGTGAACACTAAATGAAAATTGATGAATAATCACTGCTATTGATTACACTACTGACTGATCAGTCATAAAAGCAGTTTCAGAGATAACAGAGAAGATGATGACAAAGTTTCTATATAATGAGATCTATGTCAACTATGAAATGCTGTATGAGATTCTAACTGATAACAGTGCAAACCTCATAGAAGAAGCAGTGAGGCATTTCATAAGCCAGTTATAGACAAGACATCATAGAACAACATTATATCACTCACAGATAAACAGAAAGATGAAATACTTGAATGAAATCTTGAGCAACATACTGATGAAATATCTAGTGAACAAGCTTATAAGATTATAGAATGAATATCTCAGACAGATACTATTAGTCACATGAATTCAGCAGCATGTAGTTACTAAGCATTCATCATTCTATCTGTTGTATGAATTGCATCCGCGCATCCTGAAGAATGCTTCAGAAAAGATGAGAGAGGAAACAGCAGTTACAGACACAGCAGTCACAGACACAACAGTCACAGACACAGAATCAAGATTGAAAGAGATCAGCCACACATGTACAAAAGCTAACAAGTTACTCCTGAATCAAGCAATTCAATCAAAAAGAATACAAGACTCACTTATTAAGAAATCAAGTCTCAAGATGAGAACATGAGTTCTTGTATATAACAAGAATTCTGAGAAGTTTCAATCTAGATGATTTGAGTCATATAAAATACTCAAATCACATTCTCTGAGAACATACACATTAAAAGAATCAGAGAGACAGATCTTATATAACTTAATCAATAATTCACAACTTATGAAAGCAAAGATACAAGATCTGAGTGAATTATAATCATCTACAGTACTATCATCAGCATTGAAAAAGAAGAGACTTATAATTGAAAAGTCTTATGAAGTAAGAGAAATCATAGATACTTACAAATCAGATAATCTCACTTATTTCAATCTTTTCATAATTATAAGAAAAGAATGAGAAGAAATGAAGAAATCAGATAAACATTATACTTTAATAAGTAATGAGACTGTAGCTGATCATACAATAACACATCACAGACAGTAGATATAACACAGTAAAGAGTGATCTCAAAGCAGCAGACTTGCACATGAATCAGATCACAGAAGAAAAAGAGATTCAGAGTTAAATTTAACTGTTTACATCAATTCAATTGCAGAGATCACAGAGAACAAACTATCTGAAACATCTGCAGATGTATAAGATCAAGTCATCTCAATCTCTGAGAACACTCAGAGATTGAGTGAGATTAGTTTCAAGAGACTGTTCACTGTAGTGATCTGAGTGAGTGAAGAAAGACAGTATAATACATGAGATAGAATCACAAAAGATAAAAGCTGCTGAACCTAGTCACTGAACACTGTATTATATAGAGATTGTGTAAGAGTAGTGACTAGCAGATAAAAGAAAAAAGTATTAAGAAAAAGAAAATGATGAATTGATCATCAATTATAAGAATCAGCTGTAAAAAGACAAATATTATTATACACACTTCATTCATTTTCATATATCACACATTAATTCTATTTTCAACACCACATCATCTGAAAAACATCAAAAATAAAGGAAATCTCAAAACTCAAGGTTCATAAGGAATTCAAGGGCTGCAAGCCACTCTCATAATAATATTATATACATCTTCAATTCCTCTACTGCTCTGTATACAATATTAATGTCATTTATTGTAAGATTGACTGAAATGCTAATATAGAAATGCGCACGCATACGCGTAGAGAAATTGAAGAAGAGCACAGAATCTGCAGGATCAGAAGTCAGAGCAGAGAGAATGAAGGCAGAAGAAATAGAAGAGAGAGGCGCAGGATCAGACAAATAACAGCAGAAGTCACTCAGAGCCGAACACTTACAATCTGATGTACACACAACCTTCTCTGCAGAGAAGAAGAAGGGAGAGAAAGTAATAGAAGAAGCTTGAGAGTGAGAGAAGATAGTCTCAGCAGTGTTGTCATCTTCAATCAGAATAGCCTCTGACACTGAAGCAACTAAGAATTATTGTTAGTATATGAAAATCACAAAAGCAGAGATAATAATTACTGAATAAACACTCACTGATCTTAGAATTATACACACAATTACAACACACACAAGACTTCTCAGAAAGAGAGAGAGAAACACAGAGAAATACAGAAAGCAGAACACAGTGTGTGAACAGCTCATTCTTACAATAATATCTCAGACAAGACATACAAGTCTCACACTTACAGATATAAAAGAGTATAACATCTGTGTTTCTGTTCTCAAAAACACAGATATCTTTTATCTGCATCACAAAGTTGAATAACAGATATTAGAGAATAGACTGATATAAATCTATTATTCTGAAGAAATTTATCAGAGCAGATGTCTCTGTGATGTTAAACTTTACAATTGTAAAAAGTTTCTTAATATCTGTGAATACTATAACTTCATACACAGTAAAACTTATAATAATTTCTTCTAAGAACAGAAAAATCAGCATCAGAAAGAAAAGATGAAAAAGAAAAAGACTTATAATCTTAACACTGTTAAGAGAGAGAATGATTCTCTGATATAAATAAATGATTATCTTATCACAAATATTTAAAATAAACATAATAATCAGTATTCATAATCAAGCTTCAGATAGTTATGTTATATACAGTCTTCATATAATAAATCATTCTAGAGATTAGTAAGAAGAGCAGAAGTATACACACTGAGAAATGTGATTTACTGAGTCTATGCAACATCTTCTTGAAACAGAGAGAGCTAGTAAGAAAGACAGAGATGGCAAAATCAGGAGTAGCAGAAGTAGAGATCACGGGAACAGGGATAGTGGGAGCAGAAGAATCAGACACAGAGGCAAGTGTAGAAGATTGAGAGGGAGCAGCAGGGGAAGAAGCAGCAGAAGAGACAGGAGAGAATGCTGAAGATTCAGCCACACATGACACAGACAATTTCTTCATTATCACATTCTTCAGGTTCTTGATCAAGGATTCCACATCAGATTCACTATCATCAGTGAACATGAATCTGTCAACACATGAAGATTCTACATGAATAAAAACAAACATATCAGCATCTGCATTTATACAAAATCATGTCAGAAAACACAATCAGTAACTCACTGAGAAGAAGAAATAGTCAAGAGTGTATAAGAAGGTGAAGAAGATGTGTCATTATTCATGATAATATGTTATTCTGATGATTATTAGAAGATAAACAAGTTCTGATCACATTCTACAACACATTACACTTACTGCTAATAAACTGCTCAGTATGAGCACTATGATGACACTTGTTATGAGAACAGGGGGCCATTGCCAGAAATGTGTATGATGTGATAGATGAACAGATAGAAAGAGTTGAACAGAAGAAGAAGTAGAAATCTTGAATGATGATGATGTTTGATGATGATGAAATGAAGAAGATGATTGAAGAATGAAAAAAGTTAGTGAATGAGTGATGTAATATAGTGAAAGTTTCTTTGTGAGAGTGTACACAGAATGCTAGCTGAATCAGAAATAGGTCATACAATCATGAAATTCTAGTGGCAAGCTAATCTGCATGAAGCTAGGGTGTACAACATGATCACATGAGCATGATCAAATCTGGTGAAGGAGGATGTGGTTTGAAAGAATGTACAACTGTCAGATAATACCACAGCTGCTTCCGAACTACTAGTGTATGCATACAAGTGTAAAGAGGCCATAGCGGCTGCTAATTAAATTAGCATACAAGATTACAATATATAAGAAGCCGGCGTACGCCTGTAATCGTACGCTGGCTTAAGCAACCTTTGAATCACATTCATTCAAATCAAACACATGATAAGTGAGTTTCTTATATATCAATTTGAAATGTGAAAAACATAGTTAATAAGTGACTTACAGATCTCTTAATATATTTCATTCTATATATGAAATTCTCTGTAAAAGTGATGTGTTTTAGAGACAAAGTTAACAGTAGTGATAGAATTTTTTTGAAAAGATTCTTTCTCTCTGTAATACATTTTTCTTCCCTCTCTCTCATCTATAATAGTGAGTGTATGAAAGCATCATTCTTGAGAGATAATAAGAGGCTTATTCTGACATTTTCTAGTGAGTAATAAACATCTTTGTGATGCAGCTGTGGTCTCTGTGACTGTCAAGAAAGCCAGGTTGAAGACAGAGATGACAGCATCAATGAGCTGCAGAAGCACTGCTTTTATTACCACATCTTCTTCTTCTTCTACATCTCTTACAGCTGCAGTGATAGTCACTGTGTCTTGTAGTGAGATATCATCTCTTCTACCAGTTAGTTTATCTGTGTCTGATTCTTTCTCTGCTCTCTTCACTGCTGTTACAATGCTGTCCTCTCTCTCAATCAACACAGTGATGTATAACTCTGTATGATTATTTAGAGAGAACTCTGAGAAGAGCTTGATTCTGAAAACAATGACTTCAAGAAGCTTAATCTGTAGTTTCTCTCTCACAGCATACCTGAGCCCTGCTTAGAATGCTGCTGAGTTAGATCTGCAGAGTCTCACAGTTTCTTTATCTTCTCTTTATAAGAAGGCTTCTGCAGTCTCTGATCAGTATCATCACTTATCTATACTATACTAAGCAGTTGAAGAAGAGAGAAATCTTATACACTTATCTCTTCTCTCACTCTTATTATTTCTGTTTTATCTGTAATAACAACTTCTGTCTCTCTGTAAGTATTATCTTATAGAAAGATATTATATCAGCTTTGATAAGAAGTCTAGATACTTAAGCAGTATAGAGTAAGAGTCTCAGAGCTTCAAGTGTTAATAAATTTTATCAAGACTGAGAAGATTCTTCTTACTCATCTGTAAAAGAAGATGAAAGTGTGAATCTTTAAGATAAAAAAATATCTCAGAATAACTGACTCTAAGAAGAGATTAGTCAGCACAGTTGTTAAAAGCAATGTAAAGATTAATCACTGATTGAAGAGAATCTTACTTCAATTAAAGCAGATAACTGAGATGCTTTATAAGTTAATAAGTTAATATTTTTATATATTTCTTATACTCTTCTGTAGTGCTGCAGTGCTAACTTCTCAGTAGATAAAGATATCAGTATCAGAGACTTTAACAGTGAAGAATAAGTTTGATAAGAGTGTATTATTATTATTATTCTTCAATTATAGATGTATGCAGTCAGAGACTATGACATCTACCTGAGAACTTTAGTTCTCAGGGTTTTTTCTATGTCTGTAAAGTTAACTATTATACATTCATCAATTTCAGATATGCAAAATCAGAAAATTCCAGCTCAGAATACAAAAACTGTTTACAAATTGCAGTGTTTTAACATCTTTTGATACTTTGAAACCATTTGACAATATCATGACAAAAGAAAAGAGAAAAAGAACACAGTCTCAAAGATAGACACATTAACTAAATAGATAGAAAGAAATTGAAAGAAAAAGATAAAGAAAAAGATAAAGTAAAGAGAGACTATAATAAAACAAATTATTAAAAGAGAGTGTATAGCTGTTTTAACAGACTATATCTGATTAATTTCCTCCTCTTCATATTCAGATAATTCTGAATTTAGTCATTTTCTTGTAGCGGCTTGAGTTTCTGATAGAAAGTCTATTAAGTATTTAATTCCTGTCTCAGTTGAGAATAAGAATCTCATATTTAATTGATTTATATCATACTTCTCTTTCAATCTGGCTCTGAGACTATTGTATAATACACAGTGCATTACAATATACTCAGAATTCTCATTTGTATTGCAGAATGAGCATTCTATTGAGTCAAATCTATCATCAAATCTTTGTATATAAGATTTGAAATAGCCATGTCCTAGTTTCAGCTGTATTATAGATGAGAATATTTTCTTTTTACATTTAATTGAACAAGATTTCCACTTGGGTTTTGTTTCAAATCTTGAATAATGTATACTCTTCTTTTGTTTCTGCCAGCTTTCATTCCACTTGTCTAAACAAGATTCTTTTATTTTTCTCTTTATAAAAGACCAGGACACAATTTTTTGAATAGATCTGCTTAATTCTGCACCCTTTTTTGCAGCTGAATCAGCCAATTCATTGCCATGAATATTCATGTGAGCAGGAACTCAGTGCAGATGAATTATCAGCTTTGATGTTCTTCTCTTTTGAATTTTCAAAACAGAGTTTAAGATCAGTTCAAGATTTGTTTGATCATTATGAATCTGACTATTTCTAAGTCTTTTTAAAGCAGCTTGACTATCAGAGAATATTCATATCTCTTTCAAACAATTTCCTCTTTTATGAGATTTTATTTTAATGAGTTTGAAAGCTTTCACTATTGCAAATAGTTCAGTATCAAAGACTTCACATTCAGAGCCTAGATTCCAGAAATCTGAGATAAAATTAATATTATCTTCAGTATAAGCAATGCCTGCACCTAATCTATTCAAGTTCTCATTTTTTGAGTCATCTGAATAAATCAGAATAGAGTCTTTTATATTGATTGTAGAAATTCTCTTCAAATGCTGTTCATATTCTTTCTCTTTTGATAGTTCACTTATTTGTAAGTCTATAAGAGATTCAAGCTTTTCTCTTCAGGGAGATAACTTCTCATGATCAATTTTTTCAACATTTAAAGAAGAAAATTGATTTTTAATCAGAGAGCATAGTCTGTACAGTTGAGAAGGCATTTTCTTTGAAGAATTATTTTCATTTCAATCAAGAAATCTATTCCAATCCAGTTCATTTCCAGAGTTAATTGATGGAAATGAAGAAGAGACTCTTTCTCTGATTATATGATTTGAGCTCATCTTTACAACTCTCAGAGCATAGTTCATACAGGCCTTTTCAAATCTAATAGCAGAAGGAGGAATTGAAGCTTCAATTTCCATTGCTTTAATAGAAGATGATTTGAATGCTCTCAGAATTCTTCTCAAGGCTCTGTTTTGCAGACTTTGAAAGAGTTCAGTGAAATTCCCTTGATTATTCCATCATTGATAAGAGTGTGATTATTAATGAGTAGACTCTGATTTCTCTTTTTACTTTTTCAGTGAGCTGCAGCTCTATTAGAATAGCAGTAGCTTATAAGTTAATAATATTAATCTTTGTAATTAATTTTAAATATCTCTTTTCTCTAACTGCTTCAGAAATTTTATACTTGTATAATCTTATTAAACTTCTAAAAAACTCTTTAAAAGAAAATAGAAGAAGAGTGCTATAGAACTTATAAGATACTAACTTATTACTATAAGATTATCTTTAAAAAAACTCTTTAAGAAAAATAAGAAGTCTTAAGCAGTATTTCTTGTTTAATATCTCTGATATATAATAGAACAGTCTCTACTAGCTATCTTATAGCTTATAATCTCTTTCTCAGTATTTTTCAAATACTTAAGTGATTCTCATAAATTCTCTGACAATGAGTAATCTTCTTATTTTATAAGATATTGAAGTGTATTATAATGTATTCATTTATTCAATATTTTCTTCATAAGATATTCAGTATCACTCTTAATCTTAATATTATTCAGTCAAGACAGCTTCATCTCAGAGTATTACTTATAGAGCTTTAAATAGAAAATGTGAAAAATAGAATAAATTGATTTCAATTCTATGAGTAATTTTAACTTATATATTTGCTTACTTATTACTCTTATTACTGAGAAAGATTCTAGTCATCACTTACTAAGCTTCTTATACAGTCTCATTATCTTAATATTCTTTGCTGAAAGTAGCACTTGATTCTCTATTAAAAACTTCATTAAAAGATGTTTTTAATTATAGTATTTCATCTATTACTTCTGAATATAGTGAATACTTTTCACTGTCTTCTTATGAATTTTATTCAAAAGTTTCAATCTCACTTTTACTTCTGATACTGAGAAATACTCTATTCTCTGTATCTGTTTAATATTCAGACTATCTATTCTCTTCTTTGAAATATTATCTGCAATGTCACTGAGTAATAAAGAATTATATTTATAATAAGTATAGAAAGAAGATATCTTTAAGATTGCATTCTTTACATTGTTATATATAAATTCAGTGATTAGAAGATATTTGAGTCAATTATTCTGATAATATAAATAGAATACTCAAAGATACTGTTCTAGTATCTGATTCTGATATTCAGTCTGATTATCTATCTGTGAATGAAATGTAGTACTGAGAAGATATCTTATTATAAGATAATAGTAAAAAGTCAATCAGTATTTACTGATAAAGAGAAATTCTCAATTTGTTATTAATAATTTCAGAGCACTGTGATCATAAATAATAATATTTAAAAACAGATCAGTCAATTCAGAGACTTTAATCTTTTTATAAGTAGAGATATATCTAATTATCTTTATAAAGTAGGC